ATTATTATTTTATAATTAAATTATTTGTTTGCCAAGATAGTATGTAAGAACATGTTACTGAAGATACTGTATTGAAGAGTCAGCCTCCTATTCCTGTCTCGCTGTCAAGTTTGGTTCCCCCCTTATTCCTAATTTTTATGTGTTTTTCTTGAGTTTGATATTGTACCAGCGAAGAAAATAAAGTACACACACACACAGATACATATTGGAAATACACACATATAGATGTTGTTAGTTGATACTTATGGTGAGTTTATGTTTGGGGGGTAACCATAGAAATTTTAAGGCTGTGACCTTTCAAAAGCAGATTGCCAGGTCTGACTTCCAAATTGCCTCTGAGTAGGTTAAACTGTCTTAACTTTTGCAAGTAGTTGATCATTTAACCATTAGTTCTGCCCAGGATGTTTGTGTGTGTATACACTCCTTCATCCACTTAGTTGGTTTTCCCCCCCAATTTAGTGGAGCTTTTGTTTTATTTCATCTAAATTCACTATTGGCAATATTCCTATCATTTAAAAGTTAGTTTTCTTTCTCTATCAAATACATTTATATCTTTTAAAAATCAAAAAAGAAGGAAAGAGTAGAGAGTGAAAGTCTCTGTTCTCATTCACTACTTCTGCTGTGTTTATTATTTCTAATGGATGGTAATTCAAAGCCTAGAAACAAAGTGGCACCTTATATTCAAAGGAAAACAAAGTGGCACCTTATATTCAAAGGATTTGTTAAATTTAACATTATGCCTTAAAATTTTAAACAATAATATTGAAAATTATCTTCCTTTCAGTTGCAGGAAGCCAAACAAATGGAAAAAGAAAGGCATCGGCAGCATCACCTGCTGTTGCAGTCTCCAGTAAGCCATCATGAGCCTGAATCACCTCACCTTAGATATCTGCCACCTCAGACTGTTGACCATATGTCCCAAGAACATGAAGGGGACCTTGACCCTCATGCAAATGATATGGATAAAAGCCTTCAGGATGAAACAGAGCCTGAAAATGGATCTGATCTTTCCAGTGCAGAAAATGAACAGACCGAAGCTGATCAGGCAACTGCAGCTGAAAGTAATCTTGAGAAAGAGGGCGTGGGACGTGTATGTGTGTGTATACATGTTAAGGGAAGCATGCAGGAATGAGAGGTTTGGGTGAACAGATGAAGGCAAGGTATTAGGACTTAATAGCAGCCACATATGCTTGATAGTGAATTTCCCCCCTATTCTAGATATCAATTTACATCAACCCATAAGATATTTTAAGTCATACTTATTAACATCCCATGAGTACTGTGACTTAGAAACTTGCTTTAGAAAAGATACATGTTTCTATAGAGTTAACAATATCTCATAGCATATTGTATAGGGACTTTTGGAGTTTTTCTTAAGATTCATTTAATAGCAAAAGTTTACTAAGATTTTCTGGAATGTGATAATAGAAAATATATTTTGAGCATAGAAAATGTGAATGTACTTTTAAAAACATTAAAATCCAACATAAAATCAAAATTTCAATTACCCATCTAAGAGAAAATATATTTCACTTTTTTTAAATTTAAATTTATTATTAATTTCAGTAAAAATTTACAGAGACTTTGGATTTCCATTCATTCATTGTTACACTTTTCTCCCCTCCCAACCCTCCCCCCTAGTACACTACCCTCTTGGAAAAGTAAAAGAAGAATTCTTTCATTGTTTTACAAACCCTCCCCCAGGTCCACTCCACCATGTACGTTTGCTCTGGACTCCTGTCATGACAAAAATACCTAATCACGTATCCCTTTTAAACAGTTTTCTCCCTTATCTGTTTCAATGCAGTATACATTATTGAACCCATCTTTCTCAGTCTCTCCCCAACCCCAAGGCGCCATACCACCTTCCACAGTGGTTGCACCATTTTACACTCCCACCAACAGTGAATAAGGGTTCCAGTTTCTCCACAGCCTCGCCAGCATTCATTGCTTGCTGTTCTGTTCAATTTTGCTATTCTGACTGGGGTGAGATGATAACTCATAGTTGTTATTTCACTTTTATATGCTGTTGTATAGTTAACATTAAAATGGAGATATATGTATATAACTAAATTTATTTGTAATAAAAATTGCTAATGAGTACAAACACTAAATTACATTTATCTTACGAATTTGATTCTCTTAACAGAAATAGTCGCAGAAAGTAATTTCTGAGCACTATCTTAACTTCAGGTGGTCTGTGTCACTGCCAGAGAATATGGGTGGGTTTTCACATTTCTTGATTTGGTTGCCTACCCAAATTCTGTTTGGAGGAAATAGTTTGCAGTTTAATCTGAAGAACAGATTTTTACTTAATGTTCTGGAAAGATTTTTATATTATTATTTATGCTGTTTGTTTTATTTTGGTTTGGTTTTTAGATCATACCTTTTCTATATAATGAGTTGAACAACATCAGTGGAATGGATAGAATATTTTACTAGTAAATTATTATATAATTTAGAAGAAATCTTTGTAGGTTGGTTTATATAATGTATGTGATCATCATAGGATTAAATTACTTATTCAATAAAGTCGCTAAGTAGTCCCAGTATGGTCAATTTCTGCTCAGGACTTTAAAAATATTAATGCTTTCGCTCCTAATTGTTGAAATTGCTGACATTTATTATTTGAGTGAAAGTTTGCAAATCACTTACTTTTTCATTCAATATTCATACACATATTTAATAATATTAGTTATAAACTCTAGCTTAGCTATAAGGAGTTACAGTGCCAACTCAGGCATGCGATTTGAATCTACAAGCTGCTCCACAGAATAAAACTGAGCAGTCTCCTCTTGTGTGATTTACACTCTGAAACTTGCTGAGGGTTAGCTTTGAGTCGATTCTGACTCCGATGGACATAACAAAAATAATTGATTAATGTAATTAATTAATTAATTATATTTGATAAACCCCTTACTGTACATTGCCTTTAACTTCACTGAATTTGTTCTTAATTTTTACTTCGTGCTCGCTCCCTCTCTTCTCTCAACTAATAATTTTATCTGTGTGTAAACTTTTGTTTAGCATTTTATGATAATGGTTGTATACTGTAGTTGTTTTGTGACTGACTTATGCCATTTAGTATAATTTCCTCTAGATTCACCTGTATTAATGCAATATTTCATGTATTTTTTTTTTTAATCAGTCTTTAGTGTTGCATAAAAGGAGCTCTAGTGTTAAGGAGTTATGCTGCCAACCTGAGGGAAGAAGGGGTCTAATCTACTAGCTCCGTAGGAGAAAGATGGGTAGTCTCCTCTCATGTGATTTAGTCTCTGAAAACCTACTGGAGGGTCATTGGTTCCTATATGATGGCACACCACAACAGTGTTACATGATACTCTATTTTGGGACTGTACTAGAGTTTCTTTAGCCATTTGTCCATTGAGGGACACTTAGGTTTTGTCCAGCTTTTGCCGTTGTAAATGTTACCGTGAACAGATCCATGTATCTATTTGTATTGTATCTCTTATTTCTTTGGGATCTATACCTAGTAGTAGGCTTTCTGGATAAAATGATTTTTCTCAATGAGATGGTTCAAATCTGTGATTGGGGTGGTGGGAATGAGTGTGTGAGACACAGTGAGGTTAGCACAGGATAGAGCAGCATTTAGGGGTTTTGTACATAGGGTCACTATGAGTCACAAGCGACTTGATGGCACATAACAACAACATTCTAAAGAAATGCAAAATTGCTTTCCTTAGTGGTTGCAACATTTTACATTCCTACTAGCAGTGAATGTGCTTTCTAATCTCCATATCCTCAGCAGTATTGTGTTTTGCTGTCTTGTTGAACTCTGCTCTTACTGCTAGAGTAAGAGTTTATCTCATTGTTGTTTTGATTTGTATCCTTCTGACAATAGTGCACATTTTTTCATGTGTTTGTTGGCCATTTGAATGTTTTCTTTAGGGAAATGTTCTTTCTGGTCCTATGCCCATTTTGTGGTTGGGTTGTTTGTGTTTTTCTTTTTTTTAAGTGTTGAAGTGTTCTGTAAATTGTAAAGATGAGTTGTTATCGGATATATCCTTATGAAATATTTTCCCTAGTTTGTAGATTTTCTTTTTATTCTTTTGGTGAAGTCTTGATTCTTACCAGTTTAATTTTTAGGAGACCACAGTCATCTGGTTTATCCTCTTTTGATAGTGCATTTTGAGTTATATTTCAGACTATTTATGTCACAGATGAGGACTTCAAAGTTTATCCCAATTTTTTCTTTTATGAAATTTATGCTTTTAAGTTTTACATCTAGATCCATGATTATTCTTGAATTAATTTTCATATATGGTGTGTGACAATGGATCTTGTTTCCATTTTCTTGGTACCTACTTTTTTCCAACACCATTTGTTAAAGAGACTGCCTTTTCCACACTTAACGAATTTTTTATCTTTGTCAGAGATCAATCTTTTATAGGAGGGTGTATTTATATTTGGCTCTTCACTTCCTATTCCACTGGTCTGTATATCCATCCCTTGTTTTTGGTTTGTCATACTTTGGTGGCTTCCATGTTACTGCAATGCTGGATACTGTGCTTCCAGTGTTTCAGATACCAGCAGAACTCCCACACTAGTGCATCCATTTTGGGACCATTCTACCCATAGCACACAACCCACTGGAGCACCCCAGCAGGGCATGTTTGAAGTAGCATTTTCTCTCTAATCTTCCAAGGATCATATTTACCAATAAGAAAAAGATGACCTTGACACTTTTTTCTTTTTATAACACTCAAGATCCTGGAGATGTTAAATTTCACTTTGAGTTGTGGGGAGAGGACTCAGAACTGGTTTATTTGGTGTCTTGGATCTTTTTCCTGCTTTAGTACAGAATTAGACCAAGAAGCAGCCCCGGCTACCTACTTTTGAAGAAATAGACCATCAACATATGAATAGCAGTAGAAAAATTACTTAGTATAGTGCTGGATGATGGGTGCCTCACATTGCAGGGCACTCAGAAGGTAACTGGGGGAAAGCTGAGTAGAGTCTGCCTTAATGATATGAGTGGAAAAGCTTGCACTCTGTGAAGGATCTTCATTTTTTTTTTTATGTAATTAGTGATATTCAAAATAAACAGCTCAAATATCCATTAATAAGTGAAACATGGAATAAACTAGATAAGAATCTAAGAAAATTGAAAATTGTAAAAAAATAGGACACAACACTTAAAGATCGACATCTTAGACATTTGTGAGCTGAGGTGAACTGATATTGACCATTTTAAATCAGATAGTTCTGTGATCTATTATCATGGGAATGATAAATTGAAGAGGGATGGTGTCACATTCATCATCAAAAAGAAGATTTCAAGATATATCCTAAAGTCCAGTTCTGTGAGTGATAGAATACTATCCAAATTTATACAAAGAATTTCTGTTAATATAACAATTATTCAAATATATGTACCAACCACTATAGCCAGTGCTAAAGAAATTGAAGATTTAGATAGAATTTTGCAGTCTGAAATTGACGAAACATGTAGTCAAGATTTCATTAATGATTGCAATGCAGTTGGAAAAGAAGGAATGGTAGTTGGGAAATATGGTCTGGATTATGGAAATATGACTGGAGGTCAGATGAATAGAAAAGCCAGACTGTGACAGTATGCCACACCTTCCCTGCTGGACTGCACAGCAGTCATATTGACTACATGGGTGGAAAGAGACAAAACATGACCCAGAGTCAGCTGTAGAACAGGCTACCAACTATTTATATACAAGTTCAAAGTGAAGCTGAAAGAAATGAAAACAAGTCCAAGAGAACAAAAGACTTCAAATTTATACCAACTGAATTTAAAAACCTCAAGAATAGATTTGATCCACTGAGTACTAATGACCAACGACCAGGTGAATAGTAGGATAATATCAAGGATATCCTCCATGAATAAAACTTTTTTCATTAAAAAAAGAAAGAATGAAAAGACCAAAATGGATGTCAGAAGAGACTCTGAAACTTGTTTTTCAAAATATTAGACAAAGGCATAGAGAATAGATGATGAAGTAAGTGACTTGAACAGAAGATATCAAAGGGCAGCTGAAGTATACAAAGCAAAGCATTACAATGAAATGTGCGAAGACCTGGAGTTAGATAACGAAAAGAGAAGACCACACTTGACATTGCTCAAGCTTGAAGAACCAATTCAAACCTTGAGTTGTAGTACTGAAGAATTCTGTAGATAAAATTTTGAACAATAGTGTAAGCATCACAAGGATTGGAGGAATACACAGGAAACACTGTGCTAAGAAAAGAGTTAGTCAACACTGAACCATTTCAGAAAGTAGCACATAATCAAAATGCAATGGTAATGAAAGAAGAAGCTGTACTGAAGGCTTTGGTTAAAGAAAATCATATCCCAGGAGTTGATGGAATCTCAATTGACATGTCCCACCAAACAGGTGCAGCTCTGGACTCTCTCACTGTAAGTAAACCAGGAAATTGGAAATAAGAGTACTTGGCCAACAGACTGAAAGATATCCTTAATTGTGCCCATTCCTAAAAAAAAGGTGATCTAACTGAATTCAGAAATCATTGAAGAATATTATTATTGTTACACTCAAAGGAAATCTTGCTGAAGATTATTTTTAAATGGCTGGAGCAGCATCTCACCAGGGAACTGTCAGAAATTTGAGCTAGATTTAGAAGAGTCTGGAGAAGAAGTGATATTTTCTGATATCAGATTTTGGCTGAAAATAGAGAATACCAGAAAGATGTTTACATGTGTTTTATTGACTATGCAAAGATGTTTAACTATATGGATCATAGTAAATTGTAGCTATCATTGATAAGAACAGGAATTTCCAAACATTTTATTGTGCTTATGCAAAATCTGTTCATAGACCCAGAACAAGGTTTAAAATCAGGGGGAAAGGGTATCAGAGTTGTAGCCTTTCTTGTGCAATCTGTAGGCCGAGCAAATAATTCTAGAAGCTGGACTATATGAAGAAGAATGTGACATCAGGACTGGAGGAAATCTACCAAAAGAACAAAGTTGTTATCGTGAAGTAAATGCAATTTCGGTACTCCTTGGAGGCAAAGGTGGTGAAACTTTGGGCATGTTGTTAGCAAAGTTCAGTCTTTGGAAAAAGGCATTAGGCTTAGAAAATTAGAAAGTCAGTAAAAGCCCTCAGTAAGGTTGATTGACATTTGTTTATAACAGTAGACTTTGCATGGAAGAGAAAGGAGGATGGCTCAGGGTAGGGCAAGGTTTTAATAATCTGTGGTTTACAGGGTCACTTTGTGTTGTAGTATACCCAGTAGCACCTGCAAGAATAACATGGGTCTGCTGCTGTACTACATAAGCTGCTTTTATTACTGTGACTGTGTAGTAGGTTTCACGTTCAAGAAGTGTAAGGCTTCCTACTTTGCTTTTCTTCTCCAGTCTCTATCATCATAAGTCAGAACCACCTTATAACTTTCCTTCCAGTGGGTTTTTGAAACTCTTAATACTACAGGAGATTTATCATCTTTCTTCTTAGGAGCTCTTGGTGGATTTGAACTTTTAAGGAGAGATGTAGCTTTGGGGTAGCAGTGCAACTGCTTGTCCAGGATCTCTTTCCTTTCCATACAAAGTTGTTTGTTAATTACTTTTTCTGTCATTGAGGAATGAAGACAGAATCTGAACTGGGATTTTACTGTGTAGATGACTTTTGATAATATTGTCATTTCTGCAACACTAAGTCTTCCAATCTATGAGTAGTATATATTCTTCCATTTATGTAGGTCTCTAAGAAATGCTTTTAATGTACTACTCAAGATAATAGTTGACTCACACAGCCTAGATAGTGTTATGTTTTTCTGACCCATATGGTTTACTCACACAGTCCAGATAATATATGTTTCTTTAACCCTGTCCTAAATTTTCTCATCTTTCCAATCTGTGCTTTTAAAGGGACTGATTCAAAGAGCTAATCTTCATTAAAATGGAGATGTAATCAAATCTTTATTTTCTCCACCCATGTATTCAGGACATTTTTGTTGGGCGGTCCTAAATCGTGGAGATAGAAGGAGGGAGAGGCAGAGGGAAGAGGGAGAGGAGAGGGAAAAAGAGAAAAAGAGCATATGATACTGAAACTGAGACTGTGTGTCGGTATGCTCATTCACTTGCCACATTGGGTTATTGAGGAAAGCTAGGAAAACCTTCCTAGACAGGGTAGTAGAATCATGATGGAAAAGGGTAGAAATTTACTAATCTAGCGCAGTTTTCCAACAGCATAAACATCATTGAGCTAAGATCTCAAGGAGTGGGAGCCTGAGTTCAGCAGAGTTCTTTGTGGCATAGTGTGAGTATTTTGGCTCTAAAATGCTTTTCTATAAATGTCTGATAAAAAAGGAGCACTCTGTTTTCAAGGTATTAGTTAGGTAGAGTGCTCTCTCTGTAGTTGTTTTGATTTAAATCACAGATATGCCACTTGCTAACTGGATGACTTTGCATATAAAAGTTATATAAGCATTTGCTTTGTAATAAACATTAGTCAGTGTTGCTCTCATATGTTTCTGTCCGCTAAATAGATAATTTCGACTAGATAATCAGCCTAGTAGAGTACTGAAGGAAAAAAATTTAAGAAGGATGGGAAATAATCTGCTTAAGTTATTTATGTTTTATTCAACCAAGCAAATGGACTGCCGTTGACTTAAACTTTATTGATAGCACACTTTCATTGGGTTTTCAGGGCTGTACATCTTTATGAAAGAGATTGCTTCTCTTCGGTGGAGTGACTAGTGGATTAAAAACAAGTTAGCATTTAGGTTTGCAGGCAAACACTATGTCACCAGGACTCCTTTTTTACACCACAGAAGAATCTAAATGCTGTTGTAGTTGGAATTTTCATTAAATAAAGTTACTGACTTGACATACTTTTGTATTGTGTCCCCCTTGCAGCATTCAGTATTTTGTAAAATCTGGCTACAGTAGACTGTTGTTCTTAAGAAGTATCAAGATGGGGATAGATAGATAGATAGATAGATAGATAGATAGATAGATAGATAGGAAAGAAAGAAGGGAGGAAGGGAGGAAGGGAGGAAGGGAGGAAGGAAGGGAGGAAGGGAGGAAGGGAGGAA